CAAACCATTCTATGATTCTATGAAAATCCATAAACACAAATGTCTGTCCATACATCAGGTGTTAAGTTCTCACCCATCTAAAGCATGGTTGTGCTGAGTTGCCATCATCTCAAGTTTAGATGGAGATTTCTTTTTCCTCAGACTTGGAGTCTCTGAGGGTTATTTTCTGTCCTGTATTTGCTAATGGGTTGTACACTTTCCTTTCCAGTTCGTCTAAGGAGTTAGTCATGCCATGATTACTTCTGAGTGTATTAGTTCTTGTCTGTATACAGTATGATTTTTTTCTGTGGGGAGGAGAACCACACAATTACAAAAAACTAAGCAAAACTGAAGCTAAAATAAGTTGATCAGTAATCATAGATAAAACAAGTTCAAGATCACAGGAGTTACAATGGACCTGACCACTGAGTAGTTTTGCTGTTATGGCTAGAACAGTCAAGACAATGGTATATCCTTGAATAAGTTGCAGATGCAGCGGAAGTTCCTTAATTAATTTTTGCAGATACAGCTAAATCAAGCTAAAATAGGTTAAAAACTATACAAGGCATGACAAGTCCTAAGACCTAGTGGATAGTTGTTGTTATAAAACTTTCTCTGAATTCATGCTGAAAACTCATCAATGCCAAGTAGACTTTCAGTGTCTTCATGGTTGACATAGCCTACAATGCACATGACTGTCTCTTCTTAAATGCAACAACAAAATCCTACTAGCAAACTCAGGCTTTCCTAATTAATAAAATTATTTAAAACAGTAGCCCAATATGCAGCGTTGCATTAGGGACACATTTCTTAATAAAGAGAAGGATATTTCTCTAAAGAGTCATGTCATGAAGACAAATGTATGAACAAAGCAGGAAGACATCTAACTAGCAGCAGTCTCCAGCACATCACTGGTATTTTGCTTTTGTATTATTCTTGCCATTACTCGATGTACTGTGGTACTATAAAGCACTTCAAACCTAAGAATAAATTTTAAAAAGAATTATTTTCACTGTTACTGTGCCATTTTTTCCTGTTATTCTAAATTCAGTGGTTATTCAATACAGGATGTGAAAAACATGATGCAGTCTCTTTTAGTGTCATATTCCAAATGATTCCAAATCACTGCTTATTAAACCCAGCTTATTAAAGCTCTCTTTTAATTTCAGGCTGGCTAATGACAAGCAATGACCCAACTGTAATAGTGTGCTTTGTGAAAAGTTACTGGCTAACAATTCTTAAAATATCATGAACTATACCTGATGTGTTTCAGTACTAACAGTACCTACGCTTCAAGCTTTTGGTAGCTTGTAAATGACTTCCTACACTAGTTGGTAGGATGAGAGCTACAGGATGACAGCTGGGAGTGTTGAAAAACATTAACTCAAGCCATGTAAAACACAATGGCACTTAGCAGCACTTAGAGTGAGATGATACATTGTTAGCAATAGAAGGCTGGTGTTAGTGTAACCTTGCTTTATAAACTGTCTAGTTGGGATTTGTAAATCTTGTCAGTTTCCTTTTTTTAATTCACATGTGAAATCCTAGCTTCCTTAATTAAAGAAGTGTTTTGCAGTTGGCCTAAATGGAACCAGAATTTTATCCATTCACATTGCTTTATCAGTTGTAGTATGTGATCATACATGAATTAAAATTTTGCTATGAAAATTGAACAATTATTTGCTTGAAGGTGACAAACCTAGTAGTAACACAAGTCTTTGTAGGGGCAACTGTTAATATCTTTCCAGATATCATGGGAGTGAGACTGTGTAGTAAAGTGAGTGCAGTCAAAGTAATGATCTCTGAGGCTCATCTGTAGTTTCTTAGAAACTCAGTCAGCAAAATGGACACCAGAATCAGCTTTGTGATCTGATCTAATTGTCACAAAAATGGCGGAATAGTATTCCTGTCTCTAGGTGAAGATCATTCCATGACTGTAGCCTCAAAGTCCTTTCAGAAATTATGTGTTTTGCAGCCCAGACAAATCTTTTGGGGTTTTTTTCCATTTAAAAATATCTACTTGACTTCCACATCACAGGGAATAGCCTGGTCAGGTGTGGCAAAGTGCAAGTCTGCTTTGGAAGCTGTATAGACATCTTACTGCAAGAATGGATGGTATAAATGAGTCCTAACTCTCAGATGGACTTGCTAACATGAGAACCATCACATACTAATGCAGTTCCAAACCAGAATTTGTGTCAAACTGCCTTTCAGCTTTAGCAGAATTGTCAGGTGATAGTCTTCACCCAGTTGTGTAGACATGACTGTTTCTGGAAAAGCTCTGTTTCTGGAGCAGGAAGGCTATATTCTGTGTCTCGCTTGAGCTTATTACAGTTATTCCTGTCTGTAATTCATAGATAGTCATGGAAAAGCTTAGGGCTTGTAAAATCAGAACACCCAAACACTCACTGTAGATTTTCTTTTGTCTTTAGATTTACTACTGGAAAGTGCAGAGTCTATCCAGAAGGAGTAGACGGCATGTAGAAAAAAAGATCTTGACTTTCAGGGGAAACAAGACTTCTGGAATGTTGCCAGGGCTGGAGCCCTATAGTTCTTACAAGCTCAACGTTAGAGTTGTTAATGGAAAAGGTGAAGGACCAGCAAGCCCAGACAAAGTATTTAAGACTCCTGAAGGAGGTATGAAATGAGAAAACTAGAGAATAAAATTATATGTGGTATATTCAGAAATAGAACACTAAGGATATAACTGCTGAATTTGCATCTTGGACATCATAAAATAATAATCTGGCTCAATACAGCAATATTCTTAAGAATTAATAATTCATGAGCTGCTTTAAATTAATCTACTTTGTATTTACTGTATATTCTTCTTAAAAGTTCCTAGCTCACCCTCCTTTTTGAAGATTACTAACCCAACACTGGACTCTCTGACTCTGGAGTGGGGTTCACCTACCCATCCAAATGGTCTTTTGACATCATATATACTGAAGTTTCAGCCAAGTAAGTTAATTATGAATATATAACTCTTAAATTAGACAGTATGTCTAGGAAGTAGCAATCCCTTTGTAAGAAAAAAATTATGTTAAATTTTTAGTGTACAAAAGATATGGTTTCATTTTAGATGTTGAGTCTGAAAAAGATTAATGTATTTTGACAATATAGATTATTTTTAAAACTTCACTTGCTCAAGTACAAGGTTAGCATTTGTCCATTACTTTTATTTCTTCAAACCATGCTTTATAGAAAAATGGAGGTGAAGTCCTACATATAACTGACAGCCAAGCTAGGAGGAAGATACTGACACTTATAAATCCTATATTCTAACTGCAGAGAAGATATCGTTAGAAGTAGATCAAAATACATCCAATTATACTGTTGTCTGCTTATTTAAATTTCATGGTATTTTAGTTTTAAAATGAAAAATTCATTAACGTGCCATTTAGTCATATCAGAGCTATGAATCACTTCCTTATGATCCCCATGCTACTGCTTACTTGCCCAGAAATTTGTCAGCAGTGACACTGGAAATTTGTTGTGTGCATGGAATGGTTAAGAAAGTTCATTTTCTTCCAGTTACCAACTTCCGCTGTTCCTTAGCATTAGATACAAGTAACTTCAGTATTTTTTTTCCTGAGCATACCGAATTTATTGTAAGGCAGCTAGTTTAGAGTTTCAGAATTTTTTAATGATCAATGTTTCAAATGTATATAAGTTCACATGATTTGATGTGGACTCAGTTGCCTTGGATTCAGACACTTATGAGAATGGAACTTGAACTTAAAAAACTTGTAGCTCTTTCATATCTCCCTGTTGAATTTTAGCCCCTCACACAGGTCCTTTTACACAAAGGGGACATTCTTTTGAAACTGTAGGTTATCATTCGTATAACCTGAAAGGAACAATGCAGCAGACAAACAAAACAGATAAATACAAACAAAAAAAGCCTGTTTTAACACAATGATAATGTAGGCAATTTTCCTAACTCTTCTTTTTTTTCTTGTAACAACAGTTAACAACACACATGAATTAGGTCCTTTGGTAGAGATAAGAATTCCTGCCAACGAGAGCAGCTTGATATTAAAAAATTTAAATTACAGCACACGGTACAAGTTTTACTTTAACGCACAAACTTCAGTTGGATCAGGAAGTCAGATAACTGAGGAAGCAGTAACAATTATGGATGAAGGTAAGATGGGTATGTATAAAGAAAAAACACTGAGTTTAAAAACCACTACAAATTTCATTTAAAATATTACTACTACTTCCTTCCATTAAGGAAATAGCCCCTGATAAATTTTTTTCTAGAGCCTTCTTAAGTGGATTATGCACTAATAAAAGTTTTTAAATGATTTTTAAGAAAAGATGTGCAAAGTCTTTCTACTGTAGTGGAAGACCCAAAAGAGGTGTAAAGCGCCTCCTTTTGATATAAACTTACAAGATCTAAGACTTTGGCTTTTCTGGGTTTCAAAGTTTTATGTAACTTTAAATTCTAAGTGGTCTTCCTCCATTCATCTATTTTTCTTCATTGATCTTCTCTGGTCACAGAGAACAATACTTAAATGATGCAGCTTTATGACTAGAGGAAATTATTTCTCTTTTGAAGCATGCAACAGCTTCTGTAAAGTCTAAACTTTTTTTCACAGAGCTGGCAAAAACTAATTTCAAGAAAGCTGCAGAAATAAATGTCATTTAAGGCCGCAAGTAACTGGTCACATTGTATAATATTTAAATACTCTTAAGCATATTGTTCAATCCTTTTACTATTGATTTTTACGTTTATAGCCATTCTAGATCTCAGATTTTTGCAGTTCTTTTGTTGGAAGATATTATTTATTTAAATATGAAAGCTTAATAAAATAAAGGTAATTTAAAGCAAAGGAGAAATTTGGGGGAAAAGCCTTTTATGATTTTGCACATCTTAATATTAAAAGTCTATTTTGATACCATCTTTTCACATATTTTTATGCTTAGTAAAATTATAGTTTATTGGAATTGCCATAGATGACTTGGTGTGCAATGCAGTTTCTCTAATAGTATATTAAGTTTGTATATGAACTACATGTATTTTAAATCATGAATCTTAACAAGCATGAGCAATAAAAATTTGTAAATGCATGTATATTAATTTTTGTCTTGTAGTAGTCTGTCAGTGTTCAGCGTAAGTGGATTCTTTCTAATTTATTTGAATGAATACATTTTATGTAGCCTGCATGCTTTTCTGGTTTATAACAAAATGATGTATGTATGTTCCCTTTGGTGTTGTATCTAATTATATAGTGTTCCTATTCTTGTTTTCCTCCATTAAAGCTGGTATTCTCCATCCTGCTATAGGTGCAGGCAAAGGTAAAATGAAACTGCATGACTTGTTAATGTGTGAATTTTGCAGTGTTGCAAATGGGGAAATTGCAGTGGTAAGGACAGAAAATCTTGGACTACCCATTGCTACACAAAGTATTAATCAGTGCTGGAAGAAAAAAATTGTGCTTTTTTTTGCTGGTGGAGTTTTTTTGTTGTTTTGTGTTTTTTTTTTTTTGTTTTGTTTTGTTTTGTTTTGTTTTAAAAAAGAAGGAATCCAGAGTGCTTATTAATACCTTTCATCTGGTTATTTTACCAAAGTTCCAGGGGAATTCGTTAGCTTTGCTTCAACAAAGTCTAATTATTTCTGAACGTTTAACAGATGTATGTCACTGTCAAAAATATTCAGGATCCAGGTGCACTAGCACTGATTAGCTGGAGTAGAAAAAATAACTCTTTTGCAAAGGAGATTTTTTTACTACCTGTGCCATGTGCATTTTTTGTTTTAAAAAAGTAGGTGCATTCTTGTTCTCACTGCTGATTAATGCTACCCATTTGATCACATTTATTTCATTTGCAAGTTAATTGCATAGGAGACAGATGACTGACAATACGCTCTTTATACTTCTCAGTTCGAGTATCAGATTGAATATTCAGACAAATGGCTTTCTGCTGTCTTAGGTTCACAGATCATGTGAGTGAGTACTTGAGGGTCTTTCAGTGAGTGGAACCTATTATCATATTTATTCTTGAGTTCAGTAGTATTTAGTTCTTTAAGATGCAGTTCTTCTGTTAAACAAAGTGTTCTTCACATTTGTACACACAGTTTTTATGTATTTTGATACCTTTACTGTCAGAAGCAAAGATTGTCCTGAGGACTATTAGTTAGCTATAAGTCAGAAAAGTCTCTATACTTATGTGTCATTTTATCACAGAAGTGTTGTTAACACTAATGAACATCTATGCTTCAGATTCTCAGACCATAAACCTAAACATCCCAAATCAGAATCTGTACATGAAATACCCAATATTTTTTACTAACTTGGAAGAGACAACATAAATTGTTGATCATCAGGTGTTTTGAATAATAATAGCCATAAAAAATAACTTCATTCAGTCTAGTATAAATCAGACTATATATATACACACACATACATACACACACACATATATATGTGTGTATGCATGCATTTGTGCATATATTATATATATTTATATATGTATATATAAGTGCATTCTAATATCAGATGCATTTCTGGTAAGTGTACAGAGCTGTGGATTTATTTTAATGACAAGTCTTTCTTACTGTTTTTTAGTCTAGTTGTAACTGAGAAATCAGCAAAGACTGGAACAGTCAAACTGGCTTGTAGTCCTGGACATTAACAGCAGAAATGGAAATTAAGTTCTCATTATTTATAGCTGACTACAAAAGCTCCTGCAAAGAAAAATGGATTCTCTGTGTGAAACTGAAGTCTAATTATAGCTGTATCACAGTCTGGCTAGCAGAATGCATCTTATTTGTAAGATCAGCTGGAACAGCTCACATTTCAGAGCTGTCATCTCAGATTCTCTGAAAATGGAGCAGATGACTTTGCTTCCATGCCATTTACAGTTTCAGAGTTTTCCCATATTCCTGTATGGGAATCTAGCTCTTACAATTGCAAAGAAAACTCTGGAACTGCAAACAGGATGGAACTAAAGCCATGACATCTGTTAGGACATCTGAGTTGCTGCAGGTCTGAGATTAATGTTCTCAGTGGTTGCTTACATTAACATGATTAACTGTTTTGCTACTGATCAGGGACTATCAGGAAGGAAAAGGAGGATTGTATTATCAAGATCAACTGCCAAATTATTTGGTTTCATGAGTAGGTGGATTTGGAAGACAGAAATACTCACTCCACTCAAGAAGAAGCCATACCCAGGCAGTGAAATTTTACTCCTCCATTACGTGCAAGAGGACCTATATATATTTAAACAGTTCTTACTAATATGGACCCAAAACCAAACCAAGGATAAGCTGAAATTTAGATATTCTCAACTTTTTGTGATCTATCAAAAACATCTCACTTTTTCATTTTGAAGAGCAGAACTTACCAGAAAAATGTAATTATCATTTCTAACAAGGTGCTGGAGGAATTCAAATCATCTAAACCCAGGCAAGCTGTGCAACCTGGACATATTTCACTGCTCAGAGTAAATCTGTATATTAAAGTGCAGAGGGAAATATTTCTACAGTAAATCTAAGGATCTTGGAATGTCTCAAAATTTTTTGTGTAATTCTGAAATACATTCCCTGTCTCTTGACACCATGTGTCTTTTGACATCTTTTTAGACAGGTATGGGCCCTTCATTCTCTTGTATTACTTTAAAAACAATGAAAGTAAACACAGTCTGCTTACCACTGCACTCGACACTTTTAATATTTGTCCCAACTGAGTTTGTCTGATTATAATGACTGTACTGATGTTAAGTAAAGACATTCAGTATATTCTAGACCAGTAAGTAGAGAAGCAAGTTTTGTGCATTTTTCCCATAAGGTAAAATAACAATTTCAGATGAAAACATGAAATACTGGGTCAAGGCTAAGTGATTTCAATAAAGGAATAATTTTTTTCTGTAGTTTGAATAGAACTTAGAAGCTCTATTCAAATGGGGGCAATATCAGGAGGCAATTATTGTCCCCCTGTAATATGGGAAACATCTTCATGAAAAAGTTATTCAGACAAACAATACCATTGCATGATATAGCAGAAATGCAATGCATCTTGGCAAATTACAAGAATTGTGTTTTTTTCATTCTCTAAGGGGAACTTAACAGCAGAGATCCGTGTCATTCTCTCACAAGCCCACATGAGTAAATCATGAGACACGTTATTTTACTAGATGGACAAGCTATCCTGTTAGAGTTGATGCGCCTATTTGACTTGTACTATCTTTTTTCTTTTCTAATACTGTGATATTATGAATGACTTAAATTTGATCAAATTATGGTACTAGAAAGAAAAAATAATTGGTTTTCTTAGCAACCTGTATTCTAAACGTGACTGAAAACTGCATATGTAAAACATAATGTATTATACCCACTATTAGATAAGTAGTATGCGTTGATATTGCCATTTATGTATTGACATCTAATGACAGGCATGAGGTAAGAGAAGTGTGAGAAAAAATGCGGAATCCAAACCTGATTACATATAAAATAATTATAATAGCATCTGGAAAGTGAATCAGACAAAAGTGAATCGCTGCAGTCAAGTCTTTCCTAGCCTTTTCCATTAGAAATTTTTAATAACTACACTATAGAGGAAGGAAGAGAATACAGATTGGACCAGTGGTAGAAATGAAAGTTGCTGATTAAAATAAACCGTCACAGGGACTCATTGTTTGTTGCAAGATGAAGTGTAGGGAGTCATGCCATACCATGTCAGTCTCTACATTTCACAAGCCTTCTTGTTTCACTTTTCAGTTTCTTTCTTATTTAGTCAACATTTTTATTTGAAAGCAGTCTTGTAGTCTTCATGCACACACACACTGATAACTGGCAGTCCTAAATTTAATTGAAGCTAACGCTTCCTGTCAATGTGGTACTCAGTCTGGTCTGAGTACCTTCTTTATGTGAACTTCACATCTCCAGTATTCTTGACAGAAATACTTTTGTTGCAAGGGAGAAGAACAAGTATCTAACCTTTGGGTTTGAAACTATTTGGTTTTTCTGACTGAATCTCCAATACGTAACTCTTCACTGTAGGCTAGAAATAATTTTCAGCTGAGTTCGTATCTCTGATCTCTTCCTAGGAGATAGGATCATCTCAATTTTCTTCGTTCCATACAAAATGCTGTTCTTTTTTTTTTTTTTCCCTGCCCAGCATCTGTTTTCCCTTCCTTTTT